TTGCCCAACTCATGTCTCAGTTCTCTAGAGTAGGGCTGGGCTATTTATCAGTATTATATAGATATTGGCTTAGATTTTGGATCTTACAATATCATAACTATTGTCTTTTCCTGGTTTTAAAGGCTGCATTACAGCAAAGTGACGTCATTTTCTGAACTTAACAGACTGTTCCAGCTGTTCTATCATTTGCCTTCACCCATGTAGTCATTAAATCCAAATTATTGATGACTATTTGTGGAAAATCTTATTGTGCAAATTGGTATTGTAGTGTTTGAGATCAGTCTTTGTTTCAAGACCATGTTTTAAAGTTTACTGTCTCGTCTCGTACTTGACCACATTTTTACTTGGTCTTATCTGTCTTAGGCAAAGAGGACTCAGGATTTTGTTTCACGTTTGGTCAAGACCACAACTTCAGAGATATCACTAAATTGCCTGTGCAAAAAAGGAGTGTTGACTAAAGACAAAAAGGATGATTTCATCTCTTTGTATTTGTTTGCCCAGAGAAAACAAAGGAAAATTCCCACATATAAAAGTCATCTCTTTCAACTGTTTCATTCAGTCATTTCTCATGGTGCACTTATATATATATACACACACACACACACACACACACATATTTACAGTATCAGGCAATAAAAGACATGACTGAAGAGCAATCGTCAGTTGTTTTCTGTGGGGTGTTTTTATGGGAATGTGGATCCTTCATATCAGTTTGAGGAGTGCCTATGGTTTGCATGTTCCTACTGAAAGTCTGTTATAAAGTGTGGGACTTGCACTGGTCTGGTCTTGTCTCGGTTTCGATACACTCTGGTCTTGGTCCTGACTTGGTCCCAGTTTAGGTGGTCTTCACATCACACCACCCTACAACATTGCTGCATAATGGATATCGTGGTATTTGGTCAAAAATATAGTGACATTTGATTTTCTCCATATCGTCCATCCCTACTCTAATGAGGCACAAAAAACTTTGAATTGTCTCTCACACTGCATCCACACATCCACTTAAAAATGGAAGTGTATAATGAGAAAAAATAAAGTCTTGACACTTGGATTCACCAGACTTGTCATTAGTTTTCACACTGAACGCAGTGATTTTTGTTAACATTGCTATGTTATGATTGTGTCTGCACGCTTGATATGTTTAAACATATCAGAGCTCTGCATGTCAGCTGTGCAATGAATCTCAGTGAAATCAGTTACATTAACAGCCTGGTTAATGACTGAATTTATTGGGATTTGAGTGTTTTAATCAACACAAGCGCAGCTGGCTGCCTGGCTGATAATAAGCTGCTTCATCAATCTGAATATGCACTTAATTTTCAAAGTCTCACTTCTTTTATGTTTTTTTTATGCAGTGCTATTGTTTAACTGAGAGGGAAAGTCAGGTGGAGTTAATCGTGTTTCTGTATTTTACTGACGTACTCCGCTCTGTGTAAGCCATGAAAACAAAAATATGTTTTTGTCATTGTGATTTAAGTAATATCACTATGAAAAAACCAAACAAATACTGCTTCATATCAAAATGTTTAGCTCTTTTAGCAATGAGCACTGTACTGTCTCATCTTGGGAAAGTGATCTTCCACATATTTTTGAGAAACCTTTATAAAGTGTTTCTACAAAAATACGAGGGAAAGGAAGAGGAAGAGGGAGAATGTGTGTGTGGATGGAGAATTGCAATGACAGATACAGTAAGTGAATAAAACATGAACTGCACTTCATATGAAATAATAACCTGACAAGGTGAATCCAGGTGAAAACTTAATCCCCTATTAATTTCAAGTAATCCAAATCAATGTAAGAATGGAAACTTGGGTATTTAAGGGGATTCTAAGCTCAGAGGAAGTATGGAAAAGATGCTGCTAACCCTTTGCAGATTTTTAGCCTTTTAATACATAATGTACATTTACATGTACTGTTGAATATATATATATTATTTTATTGATTCCCTGTAGTTTCTTCAGCAGTGACCTGTCTGTTGTCCCTCTCTCTTCCAAGCATATTGATTAATAAGCCCACAGACACGGTCCGTCATCAAGGTCGCATTGAAAAGAGGATTGGGAGTTTTAACAAGGGAGTGAGAGAGAGCGTGAGGGAGGACAGCCAAATTAAAATGTGTTAATGCCAACATGAATGTGTGCATGATCCTCGTCACTGTAGTCCTTGCCCGAAGAAGCTGACCTATTGATCACAGTCAATTTCAAGTTGTTCTCATTCAGAGGACATCAGAGCATAATTATTTTAATCGATTATCTGCTACCTTGTGATGTAGCTACAGTGAAACTGTCCTTCACTTGCGGTCATCCTGGTGGTCCAGAGCCCTCTTTCCTCTCTCTCATCTGGCACAAAACAAATTCCTGTGATACTGTATTTACTGTATTGAGAGTTGGCAGTCGTTTCTTCTTCCACAGAGCGTATATTTATTATGAATGAGCTCTTCAAACCATCTATCAGTAATAAAGTACCTCTGAAGACTGTGAAAATATATAAAGACAGCTATGGTGTTGCTCTCACAGTTAACCATATGGGCCAATTTCCCTCGGGATAAATAAAGTTCTATCATTACCCATCAGCACAGAAGCTGTATGAACTATCTGAGTGTGTCAAACTGACACAGACCTCATACTCTGTTTAAACCTTTAAAACTGTGAACTATTTCACTATATTATGTCAGTGACCTGCTTTTGTTGCACACTATTAAAAAGAAATGGAAGAAAGGCAAGATCATAAAAGATAAGATGAAGTGGACATTACTTTTTACCAAAACCTGAGGTACACTTTTTCTTTAATTCTGTGCTTTAAAGGTCCAGTGTGTAGGATTTTTATCAGCATAAATGGTACATAATATTCATTACTATATTTTCATTGGTTTATAATCTGCTGAAAATGAGATTTGTTGTGATTTTGTCACTTTAGAGTGAGCTTTTTATATCTACTCACTGAGTGGGCCCTCTTCTATGGAATCAGCCATGTTGTTTCTACAGTAGCCCAGAATGGACAAATCAAACACTTGCTCTAGATAGGGCCATTCACATATTTGTGTCGGACACTGTAGATCTCCCCACATGCTTGGCACACAGGAGAAGTTTCCATTCTGCAACCTCACTGCTCGAGGCCACTAAACCCAACACACTGGACCTCTAAAATGTTGGTTCACTCAAATATCAACAATGATTATCACTAAAATCTAGTAGAGCCTGGTCATGCAAAGACATGCAGTTTTATTTGCCCAGGTCTTGAGATATCTGTCCCTGAAATATCAGCATCCACCCCAAAACAATAGTAAAATTTTGTTCATGAAATTTTTTGGGTTTGTGTTTTAGCAGCACAGAAAATCAGCAGCAACATGTCTCATCAGAAACAGTGTCCCTGTTACTCTGGATCGTCCACAGAACACACTGTCCTTGTTTATTTTATAACAGGGACTGTTTCCTTGGCAGAGGGTGGTTCCACAAACTAGCTCCACAAACAAAATTCCTTTCACCTCCATTGCGTTGAGGGAGCAGCAGAAACTGATATCTATAAGATAAAACTGATATCTATAAGATATAAGATAAAAACAAACTATCTGCAGAGCTATGGAAGGTAGCTGAGAAAATATGCTTTTGGGGGGGTGAATTTCACCCTCTGATTAGGAAAAAAGGAGCACTCTGAATATTAAGGTTTCCTTAATTTACATTTTGCTCTCCACAGGTCCAAGAAACAGCCAAGCCCTTGGACTTTCAGAGCCAACAATGGAGAGAGGATGAAGGAGGGACAGGAGACACTGTCGGAGCTTTGAAAGTTAAACATATCTTCAAAGACTTACAGATCATCTCCACAAAACAGAAAACACCTGCTTATGGTTCTCTCGGCCCATATGGGTGGCCTCAGAACTTCTCCCAAGCTCTTGACCAGTATCTGTACCGCCCTCCTCCTAAATCCAAACCTCCTGCTAAAACATCCACAAAGGCGAAGAAGATCCTGGGCTGGGGAGATTTTTACTTCAATGTGAAAACATTAAAGTTCAGCCTCCTGGTGACAGGAAAAATCGTGGACCATATTAATGGCACGTTCAGTGTTTACTTCCGCCACAACTCGTCTCGTCTGGGGAACATATCCGTCAGCATCGTCCCACCCTCCAAAGCAGTAGGATGGGAGGTTTTGGATCCAGCAGCTCAGAGCGATCAAACCAAAAACTCAGTCCTGGTTCCAGATCTGACATCCCAGTTCCAGAGTCCACCTCAGTCCACCAGCTCCACTCCTCCAGACCAGCAGAAGCACCAGCAAGACATGATGATGGTGACCGAACTCAACTGCCGGATTGAATACCAGAGAACCAACCGCTCCAAGAAGACCAAGCCCTGCATGTACGACCCGGGGCAGACCTGCTACTCAGAAAACACCCAGTCCCAGGCAGCCTGGATCTGCGCCAAACCCTTTAAGGTTATATGCATCTTCATCGCCTTCACTGGCACCGATTACAGGCTGGTGCAGAAAGTCTGTCCGGACCACAACTTTCAGACAGAGCAGAACCAGCAGCACTTCGGATGACAGATTCTGGGATTTCATGCGTCTGTCAAAGTCATGTATTCATTTTGCATCGAGACTGACTGTTTTTTTATACGCTGTTGCAAACAACATGTCAATGAGTGCACTTGTGTTAATGTGTTCATGAGATTAATGAGGTTTATAATGTGAGCTTTGTGTTGTCTGAACTCATCTGCTGAAAGCTCTGCATTGTCTTAAAAAATTGCTTAATTAACCATATCAATTTTTGTAGTGTTTTCTGGTTTTCTTAATATGCGTTGATAGAAGGAAAGACTTGAAATCCATAATTTGATATTTACATTTTAAAAAAAAAATATGATTTGTTAGCTCACAAGTTATACAAAATCTGTAGAGACTGAATCACCACCATCACTTTTTGAAACTCAAACTTCAAGTGTTTTGCTTTTCCTATAAAATGAATTCTTTGCCTGTTCAATGTACAGTGACTGATTAGATGTTTCTTCTTCAAAGAACTGATACAGCGTGAGATGAAACAGATGATTTATTGTTGCCGTCACTTTTATCAGTGACACAAAGTACGCATGTCCCTGGCTTTCCTCCAGTACTGATTTTACTTTCACCCTTTGCACCTTGAAAAGTTTTCTGCTTTCCCAGCCCTCAGCTGTCACAGACATGCTTTCTCTGTCATTACGGCAAACATTACGGGTGAGTACATTTGCTTAATAATGTATTTATTTTAGAGCTTTTTGTAAATGTAGCACAGATACACTTGTCTGCATTAAAAGATCTCTCACCCCATCTCCTAAGACCATTTGTAACTAAATCACTTATTACTGCAAACTAGGTCAGCCTGTCACCCGATGTCACCTCAACCATGATAGAAATGTGTGGTTAGAGGATGCACATTGTGTACGACTTAATGTTTTCCAAATTTTCAGTCCAGTTGCATAAGTGTCACAGTGTTTGTGTGATAACTGTGATTATCTCAGGTCGTCAAAATTGAAAAGGGCGCTACTGTTCGTCCCAGAATAGTTGTATTTGAAGGGAAATTGCCTTTACAGTGCGTGCTTTATGCAAGACTTAATTTAGCAAAGGCTTAGAAAACATAACGAACACAAAAGATGAAAGGAGACTTGCTTCAACATATGTTTATGCTTGAGCGGTAATCTCTACATTAGGCCAAAGTAACACATGGTTACGCAACTATCATGCAGCTACAAGCTCCCTTCAACAAACAAGACCCTGATAAATAAGTCACTGCGCGTGTGGCCAGCCCACGTTACTGTTTTCATGTCCAAGGTTTTCTGTAACCGCTCCACTGAATAGCACGTTTGTTTTTTCACTGCCTTTCATTTAATGGATTGTTTAGAACATCAAAAGACACATTATTCTAACTCCCTTGTTTCCAAACCCCCGGTGCAAAGTATTATAATTTTAAGTGATGAAAGTGTTTTTGCACAGGCTCACTCTTCCTGAGGTTTTCAAAAGACACCAAAGGAACAATCTTGGAAAACAACAACAAAAAAGAACCCCTCAGAAACTTTTACTTTGCAACAGACAGTCTATAGCACAATGGAGAGTTGCATCAAATCCTGTGACGTGGTGTTTTTCTCCTCTTAAAGGTTTTATTTACTACACTGGGTTGTTAAATGGAACAGCAAGAAATACAGCACCAACCCTCCAGGGTCCTTCCCAAACACAGACAACTATTACAGCTATTATTAAAGAAGTGGACATGTAGTTGCTGACTGAAATGATAATGTTGTTTCTTCATCCACCACACCATGCAGCCCCTCTTCCTCAGGGTCTCAGGATGTGTGGGCCAAGAGTGGCAGGTCACAGCGGAGTCGAGCAGGCGAGGCCTCAGCAGCGCCAGCGGGTGGACGGGGCAGGAGAGCCTGGCGCAGGATGACCCAGAGATGTGGAGCCTCCTGCAGCAGGAGAAGGATAGGCAGTGTCGGGGACTGGAGCTCATTGCATCAGAGGTAAAGAGAGAGAGACAGGAGCAGTGGAGTGGAGATGTTTTGTATTTTAATATCTGCATGATTCACATTCACCCATAATAAAACTAATTATTTATTATTAACTATTGATAAGGTTAAGGCCACCTTAATTCATTTTACAATAATTAGTCTTGCCAATGAAGCTTATTCAAACTGAAACTGAAAATTGACAGAACGGTGGAAAGTAATGGGAGCATTTAGTCTAAAGTCTCCTCCACAGCCTTGAATACTAGACACACAGTCACAAGGACAACAGGAACCGCAGATTAATTTAAAAAGCACAATGCAACAAGATTTGTCACCCCTCTCTTTCCTTTGCTCACACTATTCTCTATGAACCTGTAGCTACGGTATTCTTACTATGGCAGCTTAACCTTGTATAACCCTCTCAGAAATTGCACGTAAACTGTGATGACCCATGAGTCCACCAATGAGAAGGATCAAAAGTGACTGTTTAAATGTTTGTTCAGTGTCTTGCGACACACCTCAGTCTGTGTGTGAAACTGGCGGAGGAAAGACAGGTGTGTTTGGAGTCATAAACCCGTAGAGGGATTGCTGTACAGCATTTCCAAAAGCCAAAATCAATTTTCTTTGTCTTAACTGCTTGTTCCATTCAGATGAGTTAGTAAATGAGGTTGTGCTAGAATATAATTTTAAACCAGACAGCAACTGATTGTCACTCTGCAAACGTACATTAAAGCAGTGGTTCTCTTTGTCTGTCAAGCCTCTCTTCAGAAGCTGAAAAAAGTTAATGCACCCTCAACCCACATTTTTTAATTATTAAAGATCCATGTAGTACTGTAGTATTTGAGATCAGTCTAAGTCTCATGACCACATATTGAAAGTTTCTGTCTCATCTCCCACTAGACTGCTTTTTTACCTTGTCTTGTCTCGGTCTCAGACAATGGGGATTGTGTTTCAATACCGGTCAAGAGCACAGTTGTGGGGATATCACGTAATTTCTATAGCTCATCTAAATAAATCTAAATAAATAAAGTTGATCTCAGCTCTGCTTGTTTGCTCATAGAAAACAAAGGAAAATTCCCACACCTAAAATTCACTTTCCCTTTGACTTGACTTTTTTATATTTATTTATTATATTTTTTAAGACATTTCTCATGATACACTTATACCTTCACACAAAAATTATCAACAGTATAATAAAAAAAAAGAGGTGAATGAAGAAGAATCTTCATTTGTTTTCTGTGGGTATTTTTATGGGAATGTGGATCAATTTGAGGAGTGACAATGGTTTGCATGTTCCACATTTTATTCTAAGCGTGTTATGAATCTCGCCCTGCCTTGATCTTGGTTTTGACTCTGACTCAGGTTTAGATGGTCTTGACTACAGCAATAGATCCATGCTGAATTTTAGAACAATAAAGGTTAGCTTAATTGTATAAGCAAACTCTTGTTTGGTTATTTTTCCTATTGCTCTGATCATATTCATTCAAATTTGTTTCGTTTCATATTTTTCCCCAGGTCATCCACATCCCACCTGCAGTGGCTCTATGCTGCTCCACAGTTTGACAACCACTCATTAAACATTTAAATTTAACTTAATTGTCAACCATGGTGAATGTAAAATTCATGGAAGTACTTCTCAGCCACACAAACTAACATAGATATTTCACAGTTAACATAGTTACATGCGATTATCATCGCAGAACAGTATGTGCAAATTAAAAGGTAAACAGTGAGCCTACAAAGTGCACTTCATTATCTACATGGGGTTTGGTGCGAAGGATGTTTGGCTCAAAAACATGCTTTGTCTCTTCTGCAGGACAGCAGCTGTTCAAACTGTGAATAAAGGCGATGAGGAGATGTTGCTAATTATCCTTTGTGATTTCCTGTAGACAGAGGCGCTAATGACTGCAGCGAGTTAGACAGAAAGCAAGACGAGCAGCTTAAACTGCAGAGGAGTCTCCTTTGGCAGTGTAACCGCGAGTCACCAGGGATGTAGTTTCTAGAATTTAACTGTTTTCTTCAGAGTTTTCTTTCGCATTTTTCACCTCACAAGTCAGTGATTCCATCTAAGTGGAAGCTGTGGGAAAAGAAGGGAGCTTTCATTCTTCTATTCTCCAGCAATTATGAATCCACAGCACTATCAGTCACAATGACATCTGAAAGATTTTCATCTTCTTGTGCTGTCAGTCAGTCGCCGCTGCAGGCTGACTCCCAGTGGAGAGCTACCGTTTTTTTTTTTCTTCAAGAACACAGCCAAGTGATCCCATTAGGTTCCCTCACTGATTTCTCCCATTGATCTCCAGATTTTAAGCAGTGACAGAGGAGGAGGGGTGATCCTGCGTGTGCCTGTATGTGTATGTATGTGTTGGTGTGTGTGTGTGTCAAGATAGTCTTCTGAAATGTCATAGAGAGAGTTTTGTGTCACATAAGGGACCAGTTTTAAATCCCACAGGAATGATTGAGGGATCCCTGAACAGTGACAGGTTTAGTATAATAACAAGGCAGAGGGGGCGGCTGAGGAGGCCAGAGAGAGAGAGAGAGAGGGAGAGAGAGAAGATGAGCAGAAGTGAGACAGGGAGAAAAATTCATTTACATTCATTTCCTTTTCTGCAGCTCCATCTATCCTCTGACTCTCAAGTGTCTTTGGTAGATTTGACACTGTGCTGAACCCCACAGAGATTCAGTATTAGTTAGATTCCTCAATATCCATCTTTTAATTTGACTATAGCACCTCTAATACTCAATATTTTTAGATAAGTTAATTGAATTCAGTTCTGCAGCTTCTAGAAAAGGCTGTGATTAACTTTTTGTAAGATTTATGCAACAAATTAAACAGATTTAAATAGCCTTGAATATGCTTTTCTGACTCTGGGACCTGTCTTATTGTTTCTATAATTGGTATTTGCTAGACAAATGCTTGCAGTTGAACTACATGGCAGATTGGATTCATGTTTGGACTGTGGTTGTACTGTGTAGCTGGGCACTGCTGAAAAGGAGCAGGGGTGTTCAGTCACCCCTTTCCAGCTGAATAAAGGTTATATTTGGATGGTGACAGTGTTCTGAATATATAAACATGTTATAAAAAAAAGTACAGTATGTGGCTGTGGATCTTGACACTGTGCTTGTTTGTCCTGTCAGAACTTCTGCAGCCGTGCAGCACTTGAGGCCCAGGGCTCCTGTCTGAACAACAAATACTCTGAGGGTTACCCAGGACAAAGGTAACTATAGGGACAGCGTATTTTACAAAATATATTGTTACAGTCATTACAAAACTCTGAAATGTTTTCAGAAGGCCAGCTGTATTAATTTGTGAAATTTATTTTAATGACGATTCTTCTAGAATGTGTCTGATGCATTCCAACATAATACAATATAGGATATCACAACGTAATATACGAAATGACCTGATACAATATGAAATGAAACACTACAACATACAATATGTAATGATGCAATACAACCCAATACAATACAATATGTAGAAGAAAATCTGGAAGGCATAAAAAATCAAAGTCCAGGCGCTCAGGTTGGTTTGGAAAAATTAAAAAGCCTTTATTTAATGGGCAAGAGTCATTAAAAACACCAGCGTGTGTCGGCTTGTGCCTTCCTCAGTAACCGTACAATAAACACTGATACAATACATAATGATACAATACGAAACAATACGATATGTAACAATACAAAACCTAACAATACAATATGTAGCAAATATGATGAGATGCAATACATACACAACAAAACAATGTATAGCTGTTTATTAGTTACAAACAGATTATGATTTGTTGGCTCTGCAAATACAAATTCTACCACAACCGATGGGACTGAACTGTTGCCTAGAAACACATAAACTTTCCTGCACATTAGCATTAGCTAGCTACATTGTATAAGCTAGGTCTATCCGCATAAGTGTAGATTTTAGAGGGAATGCAGGGGACACATCCCACTCAATATTTTGAACATGTGCAGTTGTCCTCCCCAGCAAAAACATGAAAGCTGCAGAGGATTTTTATTTTGACAAAATTAAAGACATTCTCCATAAAATCACACAGAAGAGGCACAAATTGGTGCATAAAAATTCATCAGAAATGGAAAATGAAAAATAAAGAAGTAAGTACTCACGAATCTTCTCAGTGGTTATGCCATATGATGCAATGGGATATCATGAGATGCCATATGATGTGATGCAATGCAATATAATGGGATGGGATGGGATGGGATGTGTTATAATGCAACATGATATAAAACAATATGATACAAAATAATACAATACAATAAAATGTGACATTTTCAAATATTAATCAATGCATTTTGTCTTTCTCAGGTACTATGGAGGTGCAGAGATTGTAGACCAAATTGAGCTCCTGTGTCAGAAACGAGCACTCGATGCCTTCGGTTTGGACCCAAATCTGTGGGGCATAAACGTCCAGCCGTACTCTGGGTCCCCCGCTAACTTTGCAGCCTACACTTCTGTGCTGAAGCCTCATGACCGCATCATGGGCCTGGATCTGCCTGATGGAGGACAGTGAGTGGACATGTACTTAATGTACAGAGCTTTGGGTTCTCAGTGACAGAAACAACGCTCTGAATTAAACCATACAGTAACACTAATGATGTAATAACTCAAATTCTTATGATTTTTACAAAATGTTACATAAAATAGAATAAGTAATCACTGTCATAATGTGATGCTGTGCCATCACTGTCATTCAGTGTATTTAGGCAGACATGTTACTGACATTATCTGACAGTTATTATGTTATAAGTTGCTACAGTTTTGTTAAATGTGCCATGAAATGTTGTGAGATTTTGCCTGAGTGGTTTTGACATTTTTCTCCATGACACTGGATGTTTTTATGGGAATTAACTTCAAGGGGAATTAATGGAAATGACAAAATGTTAGTCACACAGTCTGGAGTTGTCACATTATACCACCCTCTTTGAAATGAATATATTTTTTAACTACAGCCACCGTAGTGTGGAAAATGTAAACAATAACTGACACTCAAATACACATCTGAGTCATATTAATGCCGCAGGCGATCGTTAGCCCAAAGATGAATGCAGACCTGCAACTTTTATACACCAGACACTATATAAAACTTAAATAATGGCTGGCTGGGAGTTGGTAGGTGTAGAGTAACTTTGAAGGACTGGATTTTGATATAAATGGATACAAACATTTCATATACATTGAGATGAATGATAAATAATACTGTTCATATGGAAGAGAAATAAAGATCTAGAGAGGTCAGAATAAGTTCATGATGCTGCTGAAGAACTCACTGAACTTCTGGGATGCATGCTTTTTTTTAACTCCGCTATATTTTAGTCTCACCCACGGCTACATGACAGACACCAAGAGAATCTCAGCCACCTCCATCTACTTTGAATCGATGCCTTACAAGCTGGATGTGAGTACTTTAGCTTTACTTTTTGTAAATAAAATATATATTTTCAACCAAAATTGTGAAGAAAACAGTTAACAAATTGCAAGGTACTCACTTTTTACTATAGTGTGTAACACTTTCCTCTCTCCTCCTGTATCAACTCAGCCCAAAACAGGTCTGATAGATTATGACCAGCTGGAGAAGACAGCCCGACTCTTCAGACCCAGACTAATCATAGCAGGAACCAGTGCCTACGCTCGCCTCATTGACTACCCTCGTATGAAGAAGGTATCTCATATCTCAAAATTATGTCTGCTTGGGGTGCCCTAGTAGATCACTTGGGAGACAGTGCACTCCACTATGTTGTATCCTAAAATAGTAGTGGTAAAAACATTTTCACAGCCGTCTCTCAAAAAGATGTATTAATCCCTAAAGCAAGAAAATAGCCAAATATAAGGGCAATAAAATAGAAAACACAAATAAGAGAAAACAGGTTAAAGGAATGATGATGATGATGATGATGATGATGATAGTGATGATGATAATTAAACTTGTCTGACTGTGTGTGTCTTAGCTGTGTGTGGAGCTTAATGCCTACCTGCTGGCAGACATGGCTCATATCAGCGGCTTGGTGGCAGCAGGAGCTGTTCCCTCTCCTTTCCAGCACGCTGACCTGGTCACCTCCACTACCCATAAGTCTCTGCGTGGAGCAAGGTGAGGGACTGGACATTGTGTGTGAGTGATAGGTGCTAATGGTGGTCAGATCAAGGTGTTAAAGGTCAAGAGTGTCAGATTTAGGAGCATCTACTATACAGTATTCATGTTTTCAGTTTACAGTCACCTGAAGACTAAGAATCATTGTGTTTTCGTTACCTTACAATGAGCCGTTTATGTCTACAAATGGAGCAGGTCCTCTTCCAAGGTGTCCACCATGTTGTTCTACAGTAGCCCAGAATAGACAAACCAAACACCGGCTCAGGACAGAGCCATCCGCATTTTCGCATTGGCCACCTTGTCCTACACGCTTGGCATATGGGAGAAATTTCAGCTCTGTAACCTCACCACTAGATGTCACTAAATCCTACACACTGGACCTTTAAAATAACTGTGAAAATACTATTTCTTGCCTTCTTCAATGTCACAATGAGACCTGAAATCATGTGGTTGTGTGTGTGGTTAACATGCACATAATGAGTAGGATCATATTGTTTATTGTCAAGGGGAGATTCTTACAGCAACATTTCAGTGTGAGTTCAGTTTCCTCTCTCCACTCTGCAGGGCTGGACTGATCTTCTTCCGGAAAGGTGTGCGGTCTGTGGATAAGAAAGGACGGGAGGTGAACTATGACCTCCAGGACAGGGTGAACTTTGCCGTGTTCCCATCACTTCAGGGTGGACCTCACAACCACGCCATTGCAGGGGTGGCCGTCGCCCTCAGACAGGTCCAGATATCAGCATTAATCATTAGTATTCAACAATAGTCTACAAAAGCAAATGAGAGAGAAAATCCTTTGGGAGAGCACTCTGCAGAATGTTTTCAACACCAGCTTAATTTCAGCAGCTCATGTATAAACCATACAAGTCATCTGGAGTGTCCTGATATGGTCTTTCTTGTTACACAGCATCATTTCTGTCTCTGCAGGCTTCCACCCCCATGTTCAAACAGTACATCGCCCAAGTTCTGCTGAATGCCAAGTCCATGGCTAATGCTCTACTGAAGAAAGGCTACACCCTGGTGTCAGGTACTGAGAGAATAAAGATGCAGTTGGTATTGTAAAAAAAAGACACATATACATGGAAAGTTTGTTTACATTTTAAGGGGTTTTTCCCCCCCACTGAATATGGAATTAGATTTAGTATTCAAAGTAATATTGCATTTCCACCACCTGATGCAATTGCTTTTGGATTGCTTCTTTATTTGCTCCAGCCTAATTTGCATTCTGTTTCCATGACTTTGGAAAAGTTCACGTAACTTTGGCTTGACAGTTGAATAGAGGGAAAAAGCCAATATTAAGAGGAAAGTGATGATAACTTTATCATTGTCTGTATAAAGGTTTGAGAAGAGAGTGAAGGCAATTTATCATCCGTCAAACACTTTTTCCCCTGAGCTGAGTCAAATTTAAATTCAATTCAATCCCCCCCTGTCCCCTCTCCTCCTCCTCCTCCTCTTTCTGCTCCTCATCTCAGGTGGAACAGACAACCACTTGGTCTTGGTTGACCTTCGACCTCGCGAGATGGACGGGGCTCGAGCTGAGAGGGTCCTGGAGCTGGTGTCCATCACCGCCAACAAGAACACCTGCCCTGGAGACAAGAGCGCTCTCACTCCAGGAGGACTCAGGCTCGGTACTCAAATGAGCAGATTTAAAGTGTGTACAGGGTGTGTTAGCTGCAGGAGTGGAGGTTGTTTGGGCATGAATCTGTCAACCAGTCAGATGTCCTACCTATATGATACTGGATCCTTTCTTCTCCCTCTGTGTGTCTGTCTCTGTGATGTGTTTGCTTTTGTCTGTCTGCATACTTGTCTGTATGTCCATCGGCCTGTCAGTCAGCCTGTCAGTATGTGTCCCTCATCCCTAATATTTTATAATAATATTGTTTCTTACAGGAACTCCGGCTCTGACCTCCAGACAGTTCAAAGAAGCAGACTTTGAAAAGGTCGTGGACTTTATTGATGAGGGGATTCAGATTGCACTGGATGTGAAGAAGAAGACCGGTGAGAGGGGAGCAAGGGTTTGGGGTTTCAGCGTTAGACACACCGTGGTGACATGTTTGTTTAGAAGGCTTTCAGAGGTGTTCAAAAATGACACAATGATGTGCTCCAAGGGGTTGCAAATCTGTCATTTTTAAAGGTTTTCAGTGAGTGTTGTACAAATTCATATTCATACAAATATCACTCAGTTGCCAGTTTATTAGGTACACCTAGCTAAATCTAATGTCCTGCAGTAAAACCTTCTTTTTAGAGGGGGTTTGATTCAACTGCATGCTAATTTTGGAGGATGGAGTTGTGATGCTGTTGTATTGTATTGCATTACACCACCTGGTGAAGAAAATAGAAAATACAATGTTCAATGAAACCCTTACATTTTTTGTACAGTCTCTAATTAACAGGTTTTCAAGTACATTCAAAGAACAGATTCCCAAAACAATCAGCAGCACTAAAAGATGTTTTCTGGCAGGTTTAATACCTTGAGCTTGTTGTTTTTATTCTTCCGTCTCCCATCAGGAAATCTGGCAAGCTTCAAGTCCTTCCTGCTGGAGGACCCAGAGACAGTGTCGCGCATCGCAGAGCTCCGCCAGCGGGTGGAGCTATTCGCCAGACCCTTCCCCATGCCTGGATTCACCGACCACTGATTAACACCAAACACAGAAAGGCAGTTTCCCAACACATCACGGACATTAACTTTACTTTACTTTACTCCTCTGATGGAAAATGAGCAATGTTTCAGAACAGGTTCATGTGAGTTGAAACTTGTGCCAACATGCAGCCTTGCAGTCATCTCCACACACAGTCACATACATTTCCATAACAGCTAATGACTTCATATCTGCCAAATAATATGAAAAATACAGTATGATGTCTTAAAGCCTAATCAATAAAAAGTAATTGAATACAAATTGCCAGATAATGCAGATATACTTCAAGTGTTTACCAATGTATTTGTCAGCAACTATAACTCCTCTTGTGAGGCATCCATTAGTGGAGGCTGCTGTTAAAACAGATGATGAATGATGAGGTAGTAACACACAGATGTAATCATTTTAAATGTGTCTGCATGAGAAGCTATAATTGTTGACCAATACTGTACATTAATTAATACTTAAGAATGTCTGTTTACAGTATAGTCAACAGATTCTCATACAATGGTTCATATGATACCCTAAGAAAATGTACATGTAGTCTTCCAAAATACATGGGTTACAAACAGGGGCACAGCACCAAATTCTGGGCCCTCTGCAAAAGCAGTCTCTGTGGGCCCCTGCCCTTCCTCTCTTGATCCAATTTGATTTTTTTTTCTCACAAGTGCTTTCTCTATCTTTCCTCTCTTCCTTTCTTTTGGTTTTTGAAACCCCGGTTTCCCTTTCTTGGGAAAAGGCATTACAGTGTACATTGGTGCTTCAGCAGCATATGCTGTCTCACATAGCTCAGCTTTAGCTGCATTTAGAGACAAATCTTGCAGGGGTGGACTAGTTTGCACCTTTAAGGTGAGAGGGGCCACTATGTTTTTGTACAAAGTTCAGTCTCCCAACTGATTTATTCAGCCAATTTTAATGTAGTTATGGGACTAATTACTTAGAAATTAAAAATTTAAATAACAGAAACCTTTTAATTCCAGGCTTTTTGAGGGCCCCTCTCGCACTGGGACCCTGGGTACTCAGTCCCACTATTCCCCCACTATGACGCCCCTGGTTATGGACAAATTACTGGCTCACCATAATGTAAGATGTATGAATTTTGGTGCATTACTTTTTGTTGGGAGAGCTACAAACAGTGCATGAGAACAGCCTGCTATATTGCATTATAAACCATGAATTAAAGGTTTATATACAGCCTATAAATGCTAAATGTGGGTGACTTAAAGTGCTTTTCAGAAATGTATCACATCAGAAAGTTACATTGTATTAGCAACCCAAGTTATCACAATGTGACAACTTATTATGTGCAAAACATTTATGGGCCGTCATGTTTGAACCAACTAGATACGGAAAAATGATTTGAATGACTTTTTAATTCATTCAAAAAATAGAAATTTTAAGTCTCCTTTAAAAACAATTCAAGGCACAATGTGGGGTTTGTGCAAAAATGAAAATGCCTTTGCACAAACCCCACAGTGTGCTTTGGATTGTTTTTGAAGGGCACTTGGATTTTATATTTTTTGATGAAGAGCATACTTTACTCATACAATGAGCCCTTCACAAGATTAAATAAACACAGTGCACTTGAAGTATCCAAAGAGCACCTGTATGTGACTAATATTAAGACCCAGCAGCGCTTCTACTTCATTTGTTTTCTGCAGGCAAATGATTGACTTAAAATGTTGCAGAGTAATGTACATTATCCTGCAGTTAATACATCAACAGCTGCTGTACTCACTCTAGTACATTTTACTCTTCAGACTGTTGTTTGCTGCATTAAGTCAAAAAGGACTGTAATTGTCTGAGGTATTTGGCTTTTGTCACTAAGCTCTTTTTACAGCCCTTATCCACATCAGACTTTGTCCCAGGCTGGGATACTCACAGCAGCTGTGTTGGGAATTGAACCCACGCTCAGTTTACACCCACAAAACCACAAACCTAAAGGGGAAACAGATAAAAAAAAAGCACAAACTATGTTTCTAGGCTTTTTTTGTTGCTATAATGTCACCTGTTTCTCTACTTTGATTTGTACTGTAAAGATTTCACAAAGATTGTACAATGTATATACAGTAGATCTTCACTGTAATAAAAACAGATACTCCATGTTTACAAGTTTGTTAAATTTTCTAATATTTCATAAGCTCTGTTGTCACTTGTGTTGGGTTTATGAATACCTGCCACCGTGTGACACACATTCATTTGTCAGAGAGGCAGAAGATTTATGTTTACAGTGGAAGGAGGGAGGAGACTGCAGCATTTATAAACATTGATCCATGTTTAAGCTGCTGGCATTTCCTCTGGTCATTTCCTCTCACTGTCAACTTGAGGGAACAGTCCAGAAAAAGAAAATAAAAGCTGATCCCTTGACAGTGACAGTGATCTGACAAGGGAGATAGCCTGAGTTTCACAACCTGAAAAAACATTGGACGTTACAGTGTGATATGTTTTCAGCGAGCTTCAGACGCCTGGTTTGTCCAATGTGGATGTCTTATCTCCACTGGCCAGCTGGTGTTGTTTTCTATGTGACAAAGTGTTTAATGTCTTCAGTTAAAACTAACTTCTTTGCATGAAGGCTAATAACCAGACTGTACGTGTTATAAACAAACACAAACAGGCAGGAGGTCGAGGTGAGACCATCTTTATTCAGCCATTTGCAGAAGTTCTTGTTTCCTTTAATACCATTATTATCTTTGTGACAGTGTCTTTATGTCACCCTGCTACCCCACATTACATAATGCTAATAGACACAGAGTTCATCATGTATACATGAGAAGATGAGAACGTTATGTAACACCAGAGTCCTTCACTGTCCTCACAAAACTTCACAACTTGCACGCCTATTTATTGAAACACTTCCTCTCCCACTGTTTCTCAGTTTGCTGCAGTCAGATCTTTCTTCTCCCCGACAGATGAAAAGAAGAGCCTTCCTCTCACTTTCACTGTGGGATGAAACTTTGTTGTTATTTTATTTTGATGTATTTATTTCTTATTCTGAAAGGAAAGTTTCCACTGAGACACAAAGTCTTTCATAAAGCGACACGAAACGATCTTTGCAAACATGAAGCACTGCTGCCGCCGCTGCCTATTGGAGAGCTTAATATTTATTTCACTGAAGAACAGAATGGACTTTTGTTTGGTGTCACACGTCTTTGAGTCCTGCTGGGCTCTTCAGTGTGTCTTCCAATTTTGTCGCTCGAAGGTTATTGCTGGTGTTTGTGCCAGAGGAATGTGTCCCCTCTGCAGAGAGCAGGCAGCTGAATCACAGGTCAAAGGTCAGAGAAGCTCTCACAACTCAGTCATCAGAAAACACACACAAGCAGCATCACAGCACCAGTAACGACTCCATCCACTTTATCTCTTTGTCTGTTTCTCATGACCTGACAACTCCTTTGACGCAGTATGCATGTGTGTGTTTTTTAAAGATCCTTTAGGGAAATCACATACTCCCTCATGCTCCATCGCTCTAGGTTTCTAGCCCTCTCCTCATTGCCACAACAATCCCTGTGGTGTTTAAAAGTCGGATGATTTTTTTGATGTCCGCTGTTCTTTCTTCTCTCTTCATTTACTCTTTTTGTTGTTTTACGGGGAGGAAATGAGATGAGCATGAGCCCAGAGAGCCAGAAGGGAGGTCTGAGGGTTTCTTAAGATGATGAAACATGAGTCTCACCTTCACTGAACAAAGACAAAAAAATCCTTTAAGAATTTAAGGGTTTTTAATCTAACCCCCAGAAGTAGCAACGGTGATTCTGAGGGAGTTAATAAACAGGAAAATAAGGGAGATATAAATACTGTATGTATATTCTCAAAAGAAAGACAATAAATGCCTTCCAGTCACAAGTGATAGACTGACAAATCCTATGGTCTCCTGAGAGCTCCCATACATATATATTTATTTTACCTTCACTCCCCTCACATTACATTTGTGGTATTTTTAGTTTCTTTAAGATCTTTTTTGATTAACTGTTTATACTAGTTCAATGTTCAGGCTTAAAAAGAAAATTACCAACCACTTTCCTCCTCCTCCTAAGAGACAGATGTGGATTTAGATGTTAAGAGTCAAATATAGAAAGAGTTTTTACCTGATTCACCTCATCATCCGTACTGTAATCAGTGTTTGTGTCTGCAGCATGGACAGATACAAGTGTTACCTCGATGTGGACTGGTGTGTGTGTGTGTGTGTGCATTGTGTGTACACTTAGATCGCGCACACTGTGCTCTTCTGTCATACATCAACACCATGCTGGGGGACTGCTCAGCATCCTGCCACTGCTGTCGCTGATCAAAGGCACAGGGCTGCTGTCACACACACTGGTGCATACAGACACACACACACACACACACACACAGACACACACACACACACACACACACACTCACAAACATACACACACACACAAACACTGTAAATGTGGTCATAGAGGCACCAGTCAGGCTGCAAAGTGACAGCTGCACTGCCAACAGATGGATCTGTTCCATAAGAGTTGACTGATTGTGTATTTTTATCGTAGGATGTGGAAAAAGATCTGTATCTGACTCCGTTCCATGCAGGTGGTTGAGAAAAGTCACGACGCAGGTTGGCAACAAACACTCTCAGCCAAACATGAAACAGACAGTTTGTTGTTTATTGAAATAATTCAGCCCAGTTTATACATCTCTGCATTTTTATATCATAACTTACATAGTCATTGCTGAAGTTAGTGGCTGCTAAACCAACGACACGTGCCAGTTATGAAGAAACACATGCAGTCATGTCACATTAATTTGACCATCATGCACTGCAGCAGGCCAATTAGATTTTATCGAAAGTTAGCTTACTTAAAGCTTCATACTTGCAGAACACATGGGAAAACATACATTTTAATCTGCAGAAGAAGACAACATCCCTCAATAGAGAGTGTTTGTAGGTTTTAGCTCCTTAAAGGACCAATGCGTAGGATTCAGGGGGACATACTGGCAGAAATGGAATATAATATGATATGTGTTTTCCCTGCTTTATGTTGTGTTCATACCAAGTAATTTTCAAATTTTTGTGTCCTGTTACTCGCACGAGTTTGCACGCTAGAATATTTTGTGTTGACTTGCTTCATTCACGTGAATAACTCATGTCAAGCACGCATGAAATTGCTGAATCGATGAATGAACTTCCGCTGGTAAATCCTTGGCGTCATACATCCCTGAAGCACTAAAGTTCCGATTTTTCAACCCTCGGAAATAAGCATGTGACAATCGCGCTATTTGCTTTATTTGCACTGCTTAATTCT